TGTCTCACACATGAGCTTTTGGGGGACATATCATCTCTAAACCATAACTCAAACCCTCCATGTCCAACCACATCTCTAAGTGTTGTCATGCTTCAGTTGTGCCTACAACAGTGAAATTGCCACAACAACCCAAAGGACAGGGTTCAAGGAGCTTCTGGACAGTTGACCATGCCAAATGCAGGTTCCCGGAGAGCAGTGCCCAGAGGGCACGGAAGCTTTGAGCCCTTTGGACCCCTGCATGTATTCCAGCTGCTCAGTCAGAAGCAGGGGTAAAGCGATCTGGGGTTTGCAACTGGTGTTCTGAGGGTGCGGTCTCAGGGACAGAGTCCACATCTCAACCTGTGGGACCTAATGCTGTCTAAAGTCAGGGTCAGAGGACACCCAGCTAGGGATTGCTTGCTTGATGGTGGTGACAAACTCAACACTTCTGGGGTCACAGAAGCCTTCTGAGTGGACTGTTGCAGTGTGACAATGTCTGGGTGAGGCCTGACAGTACCCTGAGGAAGGGACTAGAGGCCCCTTACACACACCCAGTGCTGGGCTCACAGAGAAGTGGAAGACCCAGACTTCAGTCCCAGACCCTCTGGCTTCCGAGTCCGCCTGTTCTCCAGCAACATCAGCTTCTAGAAGCAGCTCAGGCACTGACAGCTTGACAGAGTCCTGATGTACCATTCACACTGCCCATTCCCATAGGGATGCAGCCATGCTGGCTTAGAACCCACTCTGATGACCCTACTTTAACTCGGTTACCTTAGAGAAAACTTTCCAAAGTAGGTTACATTCTGAGGTACTGGGGGATGGGGGTTAGGACTGCAAAGCATTTCTGGGGAACACAATCAAAAGTGCATTCACCATCAGGACCTCCCCCAAAGCCTCAATCATTCCAGCATTGGCTCTAAATCCAACACCTCCTCCACCTCAAGACCCAAACCAGCAGCCTGGGTGGGAGGGTGGGAGGGTGGGAAAGGCTACCTGCCACCTAGAGAAGTCTCCCTTTGTTTGCCACACTAAAGAGGGGCCACAGCTGCTAGAAGCAGCTACTCACAAGAAGCTCAAACATCTTCTCCAAAGATGTCCTTTGAGAAAACAAAGAGGGAAGCTTGTCAAAGGTTCCGGCTTTCTGAGCCATAAGAGTGAGGCCCTTTGTGCTTTCTAGAATTAAATGCAGCTCTTTGAACCTATGATTTTTTTTTTTTAAGTGCCATAGCTTTCTTCCAACCCAGGACTATTTTCATGAATGGCTCTCAAGGAGCCTGGAGTCCCATGCCACACAAGCTCTTGGAACCAGGGAAGGCTGCGGTACTGCTGATAGCCTCTTCCCTGGCCACAGGGCTGGACAGCTGCAGAAGGAGCAGAGGCCAAGCAAACACATTTCTACAGGGACAACTAGAGTGGCCTTGCCCAGTGACAGGGACCAGACTGTGGAGGGGCAGGGCAGGGGAGGAGGGGGAAGAGATGAAGCAAAGGGGCGTGAGGAGGTTCCTGCTAGTGAAGAAAACTTAGGAAGCCAAGGTGCCACAGGAAAGCAAGGGTAGGAAATGAAGAAAAATTGGGCAAACCCACAGGGCAGGGAACAGGAGAGGCGAGGCAAGGAGGAAGGGAGGAGGGAAGAGAGGAGCCCCTCTCCTCCTGGCTTTGGAAGAACAGACTGGTTCAGCATTGTGAATGTGAGTGCTCCTGAGGGGTTCACCTATCAATCCTGGGTACTGTCCTCTGCGCCACCTTGGACTCACATGCACCCACAGGAGGGCTGGGAAGGGCCAATGGCAGGTGAGAAACCTTCAAAAGGCTGCCTTGAGCTGGGGGCCAGGGCTCCAGGGAGCAGCCACGCTGCGTGGTACACACAGGACCCCAGAACAAAGGGAGAGCTGCTGCCATGATTTGTGAAATGGGTGCTCAGCTCACCACAACAGAGCACCAAAGTCTGCACATCCTCAGCAGACCTCCTCCTTTGTTCTGTCTTTAACATCCTTGACTGACAGTTCTATTTCAGCCAGTGCTGGATTGTTATTAGCGGTAGAGAGAGTGAGTAACCGCTGCTCTGTAACCAGCTAACCATTTTCCTTCCCTGTGACTTCAACAGTCTTGTGATTTTTTTTTAGAGTAAAAGCTGCTTTTGAAGCTAACCTCATTATAAGTTATATATACACACATATATATACAGCAGTATATGCCTTATTTTATACATGTAGAAATACACACATCTATTTTCTTTTTAAGCTTTACAAGGTAAACTTAGTTACACCTGAACTGATGAATAAGTTCCTAAGATATCAATATGGGAAAAGCACTTTCTTTTTTTCTTTTGGTTCCAGGGGCACTTAACCACCGAGCCACATCCCCAGCCCTTTTTTTCATATTTTATTTAGAGACAGGGTCTCACTGAGTTGCTTAGGGCCTCACTAAGTTGCTGAGGCTGGCTTTAAACTTGCCATCCTTCTGTTTCAGCCTCCTGACCTGCTGGAATTACAGGTGTGCACCACCCACTGTGCCCAGCTGGGAAGAGTACTCTTTGGCCCATGGTTTGAAGCATATTTGATTAAACTGACTTTCACTGAAATAAAATTTTGTGCAGGGTAACTATGTGCTACACACTTGCCGGATATTAGAGACAAGCTCGGTGAAACATGGACTTTATCCAGGAGCTTATACTCCAATGGGAGAAAGTGACATTGGCCAAACAATCATACCTAGAAACATGGGGCCCGGGCTGGGTCAACTTTGAGCTAAAGTCTGGAGGAGATGTAGGAGGTAAAGGTGTGTTTGTGTGCAGAGGGGAGGCAGGGTGTCCAGGCAGCAGAAATAACCTCTGCAAAGGTCCTGGGCCACAAGAGTGTGATGACTTTCGAGGCAATGAAGGCAGGCAGAGTGGCAGCAGGGCCCACACAAGGTTGTATGTGAGGTGGTTGAAGAGAGGCGGGAATCAACAGTACAGAGATAAAAACCACTGGAAGACTGGGGATTTGTTGGAAAGTGGCTCTAAGGAGAGGAAGGGCAGGATCTCACTTGTTTTTAGGAGATCACTGTGCTCACCTTTTGGAGAGTGGGTGGGCAGAGGGTAAGAGTGAGTGTGAATGCCAGTTGGGAGATGAGTGTAGGAAACTCGGTGAAGTCTGGTAACATAGTTGGGGGAGGAGAGGTTAAAATTCTGTATCTAGTTCCACATGTTGGCAACACCTGTGGTTTCATTACAGAAAAGGAAAGGAAAGGTGGGTGTGTCCTGTGGGTTGCAAAACTGAATGAAATGTTCAAAAGGGGAAAGGGCATGTGTGTCTAAACCCAGGAACAGTGATTTAACGGAAAGAATCCCATGTGGGAAGGGGCATCCGGATCATCTTTCAGAGGCCTGACTACTTTCTTCAACATTCTCTGCCAGGTGGCAGAGAGATTTCAACCTCCAGAGGCCTGCCTCCACTTTGCGGGGAACCCACGTCCATCTCTCCTTACATATTTCACTTGCAGGTTCATGTTCTACCTCTTGAAGTTAGAGACAGATCCCCATGTGCCATGTTCTCTCAATACCCCACAGATGCCGGGGTTCTCAAGTCCCTTTGCTCCAGGCTGTGTGCACCCCATTTTGGCTGGGACAAGCTGAGTCCAGGTACCACCCATGGAATTCCACATCCTATATACTATTGCTGGCCCTAACATCACACTGGTCTCACCACACTACTGTTACACTGAGCCTTTATATCACCTATGTCACTTCAGAGCTGGTTTCCAGCCCCATCTTCTTAGCTGCTGTTGATTTTGGGGGGCCCAAGCAGATTTTATATGTAATCCCCATTTTTAGTGAATCCTTCTCAAGATCTTTTTAAATTCTCCACCTGCATCATTTAGTGACATCCGAGGCCACTATTACTGAAAAGTAGCCAGAAACATCCAGTGGCACTTTGTCAATTAAGTGGATGTGGGTGGGAGTGGGAAGATTTTTCCTCCTTTATTTCCCCTTCAGTTTTCCAAACAAGGGAAATTATTTATTTTCCATCTCCAATCAATGAAATGTTTGCCACTCCCCACCTGAAGAATCCAAATCTTTCTTTGAAGTCTCACGGGGAAAATCCCTCCAAACTAGCACCTTACAATCTCAACTTTAACTGTTGGGTGCAATCTTCTGAACACCTCTAGACACATTCTGTCTTCTCCAGACTGTGGAAGCCACAATTCAGCACTACTGGAAAAGTCCAACATTGTCCCTGCCCAAGCTCAAAAAATTCAATCTATCCAAGCAGTAGCATCCGGTTCTGTGCGGCTCTCCCTAGCGCTTCCAGCTTACAGAAACCAGAGAAGGCCCCACGCATGTGATCCGCGTGTGATCTGGTCCGTGTGATTGCAAACACCGTGGCGTTTGCCGCCTAGGTTGTAGTGGACCAGAGAGAGGGAATTTCTGGAAGGGGAATTAAACCCAGGTGAGACATTAAAGAAAAATCTAGATGCGGGCCTTAGGTACAAATGTGCAACGTTTTAAAACAGGACAGGACTGAGGCCATTTTAATCAAAGTCCTGCACGGATGGGGATGGGATCCCTCTTAGATTCTGCCGGTACTGGTTTATGAAGTAGCTCCGGGGCCAATAAGTAGAAAAGCAAAACCGTTTCATAAAAGCGTAATGAGGAGCGAGGAAGAGGAGCAAGACAGCATGAGTGGGTTGAAACGGAGTCGAAGGGAGTCGGAAGGAGTACGTGAGAGATCCACCCCTTCCCCTCTCTTCTGCCCGAGGTTTGCGGGGCTTGTTTCAACCTGGCGTCCCAGCCCAGAACAAAAGCGGCCGGGGCCACAGCGTGGGGAGGGACCGCGCGTCCTCGGTGCGAGCGGGGTGCGAGCGCTCTGCACCCAGGCAGCAGCGGCTCTAAAGGGTGGCCGGGGGCACCGCCGCCGTCCCCGCCAGCCTCGCGCGGCCTGAGTCCCAAGGTCCCGTGGCGCCCTCGAGGGTCGACTCCAGATCTCCCGGCCCGCGGTCCCCGCTCCAGGTGAGGGCGCGGCGGCGCGGTGTCAGTTTACCTGCGCGCAGAGGGTCGTTCGGAGAAGACATGGGGGCAGCGAGAGGACAGACGAGCGCCCCAGCAGGGTCGGGTGGCCTCCAGGGCCCGGGGGAGAGCGGCGCAGTGGGGACTGGACGTCCTGCGGTTCCGACGCGCCGGAGTGGACCTCCGCGGCTGTGCGCGCCGCGCTCCCGCTCCTCCTGCTCCTCCTCCACTGCTCCTCCTCCCGGGTCTCCTCGGCTTCTTCCTCGTGCTCACTTCCTGCTCTGGCAATTAGCAAAGCCCCTTCTCCGCGCGCCTCCCGCCCTCCAGCAGAGGCGCGAGGCGGGAGCCCGGCAGCCGGCTGGGGCGCGGGGAGGGGCCTCGGCGCGAGGGGTGCGCTTGGTGCTGCGTCCACGACTCCCGGACGGTCCCGCTGCCAGGCTCGAGCGATGGCAGCACCGGACGGACTGCGAGGGAACCGCTGGCCTTGAAAGTCGGCGGCAGGGGCGCGCGGTTGGCTTTCCTGGCCCTCTTATCGCGCCCTCAGCGGGGACAGCAGAACGCTCCGCACACAGGCTGGGACTGAGAGGCCTGCCGGCGATGAGATATTTAAACAGTTTCCTAATCTTTAGGCCGACTCTGCCGCTGCATGATGGCACTTGCCAACGCTTTCTATCCTGATGTTTCTTTGGCATTAGTTATTGCCTGACCTCCTGGGTTAGTGCTGCACAAAGGAGCGGGAGGAAAACGCCAGACACGCGTTCCCCTGGCCTCTCTAGTAAAAAATAAAAGAAAAGCGCTTCCGGTTCTCTTGAAAACTCTAAATTAATAGATCCCTTTAAAAATTGGGGCTTAATTTAAATGATATTGTATCATTAAGTGATCCCAAATTGGGAACGTTTAAAATTACTGTATTTTAACTACACTTATCAAGTCCATTCCAGGAAGGTTACAGGCAATTTAAATTTAATAGGTATTAAATAATCTATATCTGCCTTCATAAATAAGATCAGAATCACAAAAATTGGTTTAAAAGCGATAAGAGTTTTTAGTGTACAATGTCATAGACAAATTATCACAGATAAGCGACTCTGTGTAAAACCCTAGCTCTGAAAACTGCAGAACAGCAGGTGAACATACCTACCCTTGTGACCAGGAGGTTGCTTTGTGCCTCTCCCCATTTGTTTCGTCGTCCTGAGGCCCATGGCTCCTTATTCTCCGGAGTACGCCATAGAAGAGCTTCAGAGAAGAGGATTGCTGGCTTGTGTGTCCACCCGAGTAAATGAAACCTTTCTGGGAAATTTGCTGGTGGGATGATAAACTTCCTCTTGCTCTGCCTTCTGACAGGAAGGGAAATTTTTTTAAAGGGCATTTTCTCTTGGAATCCATTTTGAGGTTTGGTTTGTGGTTCTTTCTGTACTTCACATGAAGTCGGAATTATTTTTGTGGTTTGATCATCAGGAACCACATATCAAGTTAGGCTGTCTTGTTGGCCCGACTTCAAGTGTGACTCTAATGCTGTCTTGCTTTTCAAAACTCTGCACTAGAAATTATCTTTTTATCACACCATTTTTAATCACAGCAAATAAAAGATGGTACTAGAAATGCATCTACATGCTAATGTTTTAGAGGAAGGTTAATTGGGTATGTCACTTATCATTCCCTTGTGTTGCCTTCCTTTTTTTTTTTTTTTTTTTGATAGTGGGGATTGCACCCAGGGGTGCTTAACTACTCAACCACATCCCCAGCCCTTTTTATTTATTTATTTATTTATTTTTTAAATTTTGAGACAGGGTCTTACTGAGTTGCTGAGGGGGCATTGAACTCACGATCCTCCTGCCTCAGCCTTGGAGCTGCTGGAATTACAGGTGTGTGCCACTGTTTGTGCTTCTTAGCCCCAGGTTTTCCCATGTGCTTTGTAAACCATGAAGTGCAATGCAAATGAGAACTACTATTTTTTGCAGTTTACCCAAAAAGTAACTTAAAAATAACTGTCCTTCGATAAACTTCCCAAAGGGTTCCCTTATAATCCATTTGCTGTCACATTATGGCCTTTGGGCTTCTACTTCTGTCACTGCCCAAAAAGTTTTTTTAAACATTCTTTTGAAAATGGACATTTTTGACATTTCCTAATAGCATCCCTAAACTCACAAATCTTGGAGTCCTGTGTTAAATTTCATATTTCCATTGCTTCCTTGATATTTGAGGAACTTCCAATTTTTCTTTTCTAGCAAATGGGACAATCAGACCTGGTAGTCCTGGTGTCATACTGCCAGATTTGACCCAGACCTGTCACTTCACGTCTGTGTTAGCTTTAGTAAGAAATCCAAACTCTGAGTCTGAAGAATCTGCAAGATTGTGAAAACCCGCTGAAATAATGTATCTTTTAAAAGACCAGTGCCTGTCACATAGTAGGTACAGACAAACCAGTTTCTTTATTTCCTTGGAGTTCAGTCTACTGGGAGAAACTCTTATTACCTTTGTTACAAGAAATGTTACAGTATTTACTACTGTGCTCACACAGAGCATGAACCAGGGCATTGACTGGTGACATTGTTACTACAATGTTTTTAACCCCACCCCATCCCCACAACAAACCCCAAGCCCTGGGGAAACCAAAACGGGAAGTCCCTTGTCTTAGGCTTGTGATCCAGAGGGATTTGCAAATATTGCTTGGTGATAGAATTGAGAAAGAAACATTCAAACCAGAAGGGGATGTGTGGTGGGAAGGCCTGGGAGAACTGTGGAGGCCCTGTGGCTGGATGGTGACCATCTCAGACCCGCCCTGAGCAGCGGCATCTGAGGCAAGTTCTGAGACCGTTATTCATGGCTATATGGCTGCAGCCTGAGGGGTGGGAAACCCATCTTGTGTTTTTTCATAAATACTGACAACTATCAGAAAAGTTATCTTTCAACTAAGAGAAAGGCGACTTAAAATATGTTCTATTTAATTCACTATAGAATATGTTGCTTTATTCATTTCACTCCATTTTGGATAATTGTTAAATTTCTGTTGTCTAAAATAAAAACTCCCATTATACAATCACGTATCTCCTTACTTCAAAGGATTTTGTACATTGTGTGTAGATGAGTCCAGCATACTGAGCCTGGCTGTCCCACAGGGTCTGGTTCAAAAGAAAGTGGCTAGAATTGCAAATGGTAGTCTTTGAGTTCAAGAACATAGATGATTCCCTAAGCCATAGGACAGGCAGCCATGACAGTTGGATTTGCTTGAAATACCCTCATGTGAATTGGTACAATGGAGGATCCCCCAAGGATAGTTACCAAGTTCACATGCCTCCTCAGTTTTGGAACAGATGTTTGTAAAATCTTGTCCAGGGTGCCATCTTATTATGTCTCATAGCAGTGGCCAGGTTTTCTTCTGGAGAATCGGGGTTCCACACAGCCTAGGAGAGTAGGTGGTGGGCCACATCCCCCAACCCCTGACTCTGGGAGGTGACATATTACTCAGTCATGGCCTTTCAGAGTGTTGCCACAGTGAATGATGAGCCAGGGAGATGGAAGGGAACTTTGCAGGGACATGGAGGGTGGGTTTTTAAATAACTAGCACAAGAGCACACCATCGGTGGTGAGAGAGAGGAGGAGTAAAAGGGGAGAGCCTTGGCTGTAGAAACCTTGGCTGTAGAAGCCTTGAACGCCAGGCAAGAGCATTGGAAACTAGTTTTTAGACAACAGGAAGTAGGTTTTGAAAACTGGCAGGAGAAAATTGGTGTTTTGGGAAGATTAGTCTGGCAGCTGTGTGTAGGAAGGAACAGAGAATGCAGGACAGGAGACTTTACTATACACTGTGCTTTGTTAGAGTGAATTGACATTTTTGTCCAAATGTGCAGGAAACTCACATTGGAAAATGTAAATGTTTTTGTTACCTTTTAAAGTTCATGGTTACACTCCAGTCCACTGCCTTGTTGATTTGCATGAAGGCATTAAGTGATCTGGAGAGGTGTATTCCAAAATGTTAACAGAAGAACTGAATCTTAAATAAGTAAAATATTGCCTGTTTCACTGGTTTGACTTCAAAGGCACAATATTCCATGCATGCATTTAAGCATGAATAATTAGTAAAGGCCCCTGTCCTTGCTTATGCATTCCCCACACACATATGTGAGATTAAATCTCTCTTGCCTACTCGCTTGCCCACCTTGAATTGCTTATCTAACAGAGGTATGAACTATTTGATTTCCCACAAAGAGAATGACTGAGTGAAGGTGATTCCCAGTACAGTCTTGCTGAACACTCTTAGAATGCCCTGGGGTGGACAGGGGAGAGGAGGGCAGGGATGGGGAGAAAATGGGCAGTGGTTCAGTGGTGGTAAGGGGGACACCTCTATGCAATCTGTCCTTCTGCTGCCCAGGAGCCTCAACACCACCTGGCAGGTAATCCTGTCCTTGAATGACTTCCACGTGCTTCTTAGTGAATGACTCTGGACTTAGTACTGTAGTGTTTGGTCCAGATTTTGAGAGAAAAAACATGTTCAAAGAAGTAAACTTTATGTATTAAAGCCCAAGGGGCTGGGTATGCAGCTCAGTGGCAGAACATTTGTCTAATGTGCGAGGTCTTGAGTTGGATCCCCAGCACCACCACAAAACAACAACAAAACCACTAAAAACCAATCAACCCAAGTCAGCTAGGGGAATTTTTATTTTGCATTTGCTTTTGTTATACGGTTAGAGGAAAGGACAACCAGAAAGAAAATCCAGTGTTGTCAGTGACTGTGGTCTTGCAGGAGGGCTTCATTTCCTGTGCTTTGTACCCACAGGATGCAGAACACAGATTCAGGTGGGTGACTCAGGAGTGACATCATCAAGTCATTAGACAATAGAACTTTTAGATATTAAAACAATATACTGATGAACCTAGCCTAATTCCATTTTAAGATTGGGAACCATCTCGTCACAAAGTCATGAAAAGTTAATTTCTGTTTTACTATAAAATACTGAGATTTCTAAACTTGTTTGGAATTCCTGCTTGTGCTCTGAACTCACCCGCGCCTGGCTTTCCTCAACCAGATAATAACCCTCTCTAAAACCTTAGTGGTGCCTCATAAATCCTGGCTCCTCCTGACTAGATAACAACCCTCTCTGAAACCTCAGTGGTACCTCATAAATTCTGATGTTGGGATCTGAATTTATTCCCTATCTTGAAATATCATCCCGTGTAGATCATTAATCTGCTATCTGCTCTTGTATTACATTTGTCAGAACACTGTTAGCTGTAAGTTCCCAAGACACCCCCCTTTGTAACTTTTTGTGCTATATAAACCTTTTCTTCCCTGAGAGCTGGGCTGATCTCTAGCCCAGTTTTGGAAGAGACAGTCGCTGAT